CAGCTAAAAGACAGGAGGAACTGAGAGGAGAAGTAAGAGAAGGAGCTAATATAGAGGAGCAGCTAAAAGACAGGAGGAACTGAGAGGAGAAGTAGGAGAAGGAGCTTATATAGAGGAGCAGCTAAAAGACAGGAGGAACTGAGAGGAGAAGTAAGAGAAGGAGCTTCTTTAGAAGAACAGCTAAAAGACAGGAGGAACTGAGAGGAGAAGTAAGAAAAGGAGCTAATATAGAGGAGCAGCTAAAAGACAAGAGGAACTGAGAGGAGAAGTAGGAGAAGGAGCTTCTTTAGAAGAACAGCTAAAAGACAGGAGGAACTGAGAGGAGAAGTAAGAGAAGGGGCTAATATAGAGGAGCAGCTAAAAGACAGGAGGAACTGAGAGGAGAAGTAAGAAAAGGAGCTAATATAGAGGAGAAGCTGAAATACAGGAGGAACTGAGAGGAGAAGTAAGAGAAGGGGCTAATATAGAGGAGCAGCTAAAAGACAGGAGAAACTGAGAGGAGAAGTAAGAAAAGGAGCTAATATAGAGGAGAAGCTGAAATACAGGAGGAACTGAGAGGAGAAGTAAGAGAAGGGGCTAATATAGAGGAGCAGCTAAAAGACAGGAGAAACTGAGAGGAGAAGTAAGAAAAGGAGCTAATATAGAGGAGAAGCTGAAATACAGGAGGAACTGAGAGGAGAAGTAAGAGAAGGGGCTAATATAGAGGAGCAGCTAAAAGACAGGAGAAACTGAGAGGAGAAGTAAGAAAAGGAGCTAATATAGAGGAGAAGCTGAAATACAGGAGGAACTGAGAGGAGAAGTAAGAGAAGGGGCTAATATAGAGGAGCAGCTAAAAGACAGGAGAAACTGAGAGGAGAAGTAAGAAAAGGAGCTAATATAGAGGAGAAGCTGAAATACAGGAGGAACTGAGAGGAAAAGTAAGAGAAGGAGCTAATATAGAGGAACAGCTAAAAGACAGGAGAAACTGAGAGGAGAAGTAAGAAAAGGAGCTAATATAGAGGAGAAGCTGAAAGACAGGAGGAACTGGGAGGAGAAGTAAGAGAAGGAGCTAATATAGAGGAGCAGCTGAAAGACAGGAGGAGCTATGAGAGAGGAAAATGATCTATCACACGGAAAGAGAGAGAAAGAAGAATTGATGATATAGGTATAAAAGGAATATTTACCCATGACACGCTGCATGTGTGACACTGTCCTCCCCACTTGGTTGGAAATAGTCCCAGTTAGTGACCCTAAGATGGAGTTTCTCTCCACCAAGTTAGACACTTTGTATTGTGGCACATCCACAGGGGCAATGATATCCCAGTCATCCAAACCTGACAACAAAATCATCACAGTAGATATAAAACCTTACACAGTAAATATCACACTTTTATACAGTGGATATAACACCTTAAGAAGTAGATATAACACTTTATACAGTAGATATAACACCTTAAACAGTAGATATAACACTTTAAACAGTGGATATAACACTTTATACGGTAGATATAACACTTTATACAGTAGAAATAACACCTTACACAGCAGATATCACACCTTACACAGTAGATATCACACCTTACACAGTAGATATCACACCTTACACAGTAGATATCACACCTTACACAGTATATATCACACCTTACACAGTAGATATCACACATTACACAGCAGATATCACACCATACACAGTAGATATCACACCTTACACAGCAGATATCGCACCTTACAAGTAGATATCACACCTTATATAGTAGATCTCACACCATACACAGTAGATATCACACCTTACACAGCAGATATCACACCTTACACAGTAGATATCACACCATACACAGCAGATATCACACCTTACACAGTAGATATCACACCTTACACAGTATATATCACACCATACACAGCTGATATCACACCTTACACAGTAGATATCACCCCTTATACAGAAGATATCACATATTTCACTGTAGATGTCACACTTTACACAGTAGATATCACACCTTACACAGCAGATATCGCACCTTACAAGTAGATATCACACCTTACACAGTAGATATCACACCATACACAGTAGATAGCACACCTTACACAGCAGATATCACACCTTACATAGTAGATATCACACCATACACAGTAGATATCACACCATACACAGCTGATTTCACACCTTACACAGTAGATATCACCCCTTATACAGAAGATATCACATATTTCACCATAGATGTCACACTTTACACAGCAGATGCATCAATTATGGACTTTTTAAAGTACTGATGAAATGAAGTTTACTAACATTTATGGACTTTTTAAAGTACTGATGAAATGAAGTTTACTAAAATTTATGGACTTTTTAAAGGACTGATGAAATGAAGTTTACTAACATTTATGGACTTTTTAAAGTGCTGATGAAATGAAGTTTACTAAAATTTATGGACTTTTTAAAGGACTCTTGAAATCAAGTTTACTAACATTTATGGACTTTTTAAAGTACTGATGAAATGAAGTTTACTAACGTTTATGGAAGTGATCTTCAATTTCATAACAAACACCCTTAATTGACTTTCAAGATATCAAAATTTTAACAACTAAAGTGTGAGTAATAACTGACCTTCCTCAAATGGTTTGAGGTCAACCTTGAGCTGGAGACACGGGTCGGAGGCGCTCTGGAAGGCCGCGTCCATGTCCCAGTCAGACAGCATACTGAGGTAGATCTCCTGTCCCTCGTCATCTTTTGTCCGGTAACTCAGAGTGAAGTCACTGAAATAATCAGGTAAATCTACATTTAAATCACAAATATTTCAAGCAGCTGAGGAATGATTTGTCATTGTGCTCCTCAGTAAAATCTGTTCTCCATTGGTCATGGTTACATGGGACTTTCCCATTGGAAAATGAGTGTGTCACGGCATGGCTTTATATCAATGTTTATAAGACTAAAAGCCCATTTGGCGCTGAAGTCAGTAGACGGATGACCATGAATCTGTTGACAAAACTCATCCAATGTATTCTCATAACGATATTTTCAATGTATAAACACTACTGAAAAAAAGGTTTTTTATGATGGTTGACATCAGCTAAAACAATGTGCCTTTGTCTTGTACATGACAAAAATTCTTATAGACATCTGGGTCGACCCTCTGGAACAAGCTGCTGTTAACTGGGCTATGTAACAATTGTTCTAGCTTTGTCTACACTGACTGTACTATGATAACTGTGCTATGTAATAATTGTTCTGGCTTTGTCTACACTGACTGTACTATGATAACTGAGCTATGTAACAACTGTTCTAGCTTTGTCTACACTGACTGTACTATGGTAACTGGGCTATGTAACAATTGTTCTAGCTTTGTCTACACTGACTGTACTAAAATAACTGGGCTATGTAACAATTGTTCAAGCTTTGTCTACACTGACTGTACTATGATAACTGGGCTATGTAACAATTGTTCAAGCTTTGTCTGCACTGACTGTACTATGATAACTGGGCTATGTAACAATTGTTACAGCTTTGTCTACACTGACTGTACTATGATAACTGAGCTATGTAATAATTGTTCTGGCTTTGTCTACACTGACTGTACTATGATAACTGAGCTATGTAATAATTGTTCTGGCTTTGTCTACACTGACTGTACTATGATAACTGTGCTATGTAATAATTGTTCTGGCTTTGTCTACACTGACTGTACTATGATAACTGGGCTATGTAACAATTGTTACAGCTTTGTCTACACTGACTGTACTATGATAACTTGGCTATGTAACAATTGTTCTAGCTTTTTCTACATTGACTGTACTATGATAACTGGGCTATGTAACAATTGTTTAAGCTTTGTCTACACTGACTGTACTATGATAACTGAGCTATGTAATAATTGTTCTGGCTTTGTCTACACTGACTGTACTATGATAACTGAGCTATGTAACCATTGTTCTAGCTTTGTCTACACTGACTGTACTAAAATAACTGGGCTATGTAACAATTGTTCTAGCTTTTTCTACACTGACTGTACTATGATAACTGGGCTATGTAACAATTGTTATAGCTTTGTCTACACTGACTGTACTATGATAACTGGGCTATCTAACAATTGTTCTAGCTTTGTCTACACTGACTGGTTCTAGCTTTGTCTACACTGACTGTACTAAAATAACTGGGCTATGTAACAATTGTTCAAGCTTTGTCTACACTGACTGTACTATGATAACTGTGTTATGTAACAATTGTTCTAGCTTTGTCTACACTGACCGTACTATGATAACTGGGCTATGTAACAATTGTTCTAGCTTTTTCTACACTGACTGTACTATGATAACTGGGCTATGGAACAATTGTTCTAGCTTTGTCTACACTGACTGTACTATGATAACTGAGCTATGTAATAATTGTTCTGGCTTTGTCTACACTGACTGTACTATGATAACTGTGTTATGTAACAATTGTTCTAGCTTTGTCTACACTGACCGTACTATGATAACTGGGCTATGTAACAATTGTTACAGCTTTGTCTACACTGACTGTACTATGATAACTGGGTTATGTAACAATTGTTCTAGCTTTGTCTACACTGACCGTACTATGATAACTGGGCTATGTAACAATTGTTTAAGCTTTGTCTACACTGACTGTACTATGATAACTGTGCTATGTAATAATTGTTCTGGCTTTGTCTACACTGACTGTACTATGATAACTGAGCTATGTAACAATTGTTCTAGCTTTGTCTACACTGACCGTACTATGATAACTGGGCTATGTAACAATTGTTACAGCTTTTTCTACATTGACTGTACTATGATAACTGGGCTATGTAACAATTGTTACAGCTTTGTCTACACTGACTGTACTATGATAACTGTGTTATGTAACAATTGTTCTAGCTTTGTCTACACTGACCGTACTATGATAACTGGGCTATGTAACAATTGTTACAGCTTTGTCTACACTGACTGTACTATGATAACTGTGCTATGTAATAATTGTTCTGGCTTTGTCTACACTGACTGTACTATGATAACTGAGCTATGTAATAATTGTTCTGGCTTTGTCTACACTGACTGTACTATGATAACTGTGCTATGTAATAATTGTTCTGGCTTTGTCTACACTGACTGTACTATGATAACTGGGTTATGTAACAATTGTTCTAGCTTTGTCTACACTGACCGTACTATGATAACTGGGCTATGTAACAATTGTTACAGCTTTGTCTACACTGACTGTACTATGATAACTGAGCTATGTAATAATTGTTCTGGCTTTGTCTACACTGACTGTACTATGATAACTGGGTTATGTAACAATTGTTCTAGCTTTGTCTACACTGACCGTACTATGATAACTGGGCTATGTAACAATTGTTACAGCTTTGTCTACACTGACTGTACTATGATAACTTGGCTATGTAACAATTGTTCTAGCTTTTTCTACACTGACTGTACTATGATAACTGGGCTATGTTACAACTGTTCTAGCTTTGTCTACACTGACTGTACTATGGTAACTGGGCTATGTAACAATTGTTCTAGCTTTGTCTACACTGACCGTACTATGATAACTGGGCTATGTAACAATTGTTACAGCTTTTTCTACATTGACTGTACTTTGATACAACACATTTATACTGACATAAATCTGACACCAAAACTCATTTGGTTGTCAACTATAAATACACCAATATCATAATAATACATCTTTGGATATATGCAATATTTGTTTTTTGTGGAGTGGGACAATAGAGTTAACATGCCTCAACAAACTGTAACAAGAGGCCAAATGGGCCTGAATTGCTCACCTGGTTTTAATCTCACACTTGTAATCTTAAAAGTGGACTAAAATACAACTGTANATCCCAGCATGTTACTGGCCAAATATCATCACCTTAGGCCTTTTGGTTATTCAGAAGAAGTTGTTTAAAGATTTTAACATATTTGACCCCTGTGACCTTGAATACAAGTCAAGGTCATTTATTTGAACAAACTTGGTAGCCCTTCATCCCAGCATGTTACTGGCCAAATTTAAGCACCCAAGGCCTCTTGGTTATTCAGAAGAAGTTGTTTAAATGTTTTGAACATATTTGACCCCTGTGACCTTGAATATTTGTCAAGGTCATTCATTTTAACAAGTTGGTAGTCCTTTATCCTATCATGTTAATGGCCAAATATCATTATCCTAGGCCTCTTAGTTATTCAGAAGAAGTTGTTTAAAGATTTTGTAAGACAATTGACCCCTGTGACCTTGAATATTTGTCAAGATCATTCATTTGAAAAAACTTGGTAGCCCTTCAANAAGAAGAAGTTGTTTAAAGTAAAATATTGACGCCGGACGGACGCTGGACGGACGCCGGACCATGGCATAAACTCACTTTGCCCTTTGTGCCAGGTGAGCTAATAAAACAAAGGCTCTTAATGTCGCTTGCCATACTTTCATTTTTAGTGAAAAGAGTATCATCCCATAACTTATATTTGAGTGGATAGGTGTGCTATTTAAACCAGAATATCAACTGTAATTTCAGATAAAAAATCAGACATCCCTGAAAGGTTTTTCAAATACAAATTAATTTTACAAACTTTTATTAATTTAGAAACATACATTCTACACATTGTATTTCTCATTATATATTTTATTTCTTATATATCAGTTTTAATGGTTTTAGGATACAGACAAATTTTGTAAACTGATAAACACTTTATATTTTGAGAGACTATCTTTTAATTTAATTCACAAGGACTCTTTCATGAATTAAAATAAAGTTCCATGAATATTAATTTTTTAGATCCTATAGTACTAAACAAATTGAAATATTGTCCTTTTTATTGCAAGTTTTCTTAATTGTAAATAGATTTTGCAAAATAAAATGTGCATGAAAATAAAGTAATTTACATCAATATGACCTAGCGGAGTAGAATGGGAACCATGCATGTTGGCCTACATCATTCTACACCTTAAAGGATGCATGTGTCAGAGCCATAATGACTAATTTAATTGGACAGTAAATCATAGTTATATTAGTCAGCAGATCTGCATGTGTGATCAACACAAATCCAATTGATGCCCTGGTCCAATAGAACAAACTCTTGTAGGCTTGTTAAACACTTACAGAACATCTTATTTAATACAATCAAGTTTAGCTTCCAAACACAATAAATCCTTAGTATATTTATTTACTATATTTCAAACTGAACAAAATAAACCTTGTAGAAATTCTCTTTTTATAATAAGTTCTGGAATTAAGATTGATGAGAAATGACAGCTTTTAAGCCATTAAGCAATAAATGTGCACAAGGTGAGCCTAATATGATGGTGGTAAATGTGTACATTGTACAACAGAATCTGCAAAGTTCACAATGGACTGAAATTTGAAGAAATTATTTTGACTGATTCTCACATGCCAATCTTTTTAAATTTTCATGGGGAGAATCAGAGTGCTCAAAAATATACCCCCATACGTAAAATATACCACTTTAGAGCGATCTTTTTTCAGATGAAATTAACAGATCTTAAGTTGGAGGAAATTAGTTAGGCTGAAATGTTCAATTTAGAGTCAACATTTGGGATCCCCGCCAAAACAGGGGTAGTTGTAATTGGTGAGTATGCATGCTTATTATTCTGTATAACCATGGCCATAATGCAGATGCTAAGAGTAAAGGTTATATACCACATTAATTAAAACCTACAACATGAAAATATATAAATGATTGTAACTGTTGTTTACACACCTCTCTGTAAAACTTAGCACAGCCCATGGAGAGCTCATTCTGTGATGGTCAGTAAGGGTGGCCAAGGTCGGCCACACACAGCTGAACAGAAAACATGCACTGTTCAAGATTGCATGACCATGCAGATTACCACACCCTTGTTAAACAGATCATGACACTGGTCAGTATAGTAAGTGGTCAGTTGTGAATGGTCAAGAACAGCCATGAAGATTACTGCATCCTTGTTGAACAGGAGACACGCAATCCAGTAATGAACTCCCAGCAGGCTTTCTCTGACCACATGGCTGTCCAGTGAGGGGTCAAGCTTTTTCACAACATCCAATGTAAAGGAGACCTGAGTGTTGACAGAGAGGTCCCTTAGGACTGAGATAGACTGTTATATATCCATGGTACCAGTAGGTCTAACCACTTACAGCTATATATCTACTCTCAGATATACAGTGATTAGTGCTAGCTACAGTCATCCTCCTGCCAATCAGCTGCTTGAGTTGTAAGTACTTGATACCTACATATACAGTATACATGTCATAAGGCAGTGAAGTTTATATATAACACATATATTTGTGACCTTGAGTTATATAATATACTATATATATAAACGCCAAAGAGCCAGTACACAGTCAACACAAAGAATGGTCCAAACCAAGCTGTCCATACCCGGGCTTTTATCACTTAGAGCTATCCATTCCCTGGCTTTTATCACTTCAGTATCTACACATGTATTGGTCCAATCTAAAGCTGGTTACCACATATTACATGTACCTGTGATTTTAGGGGTTAATACCCTCTGTGACCCCTAGCTAACCTTGAAAGCCTAGACATTGATAAGGTGTTTACTGGTATTGATCATGAGTGACTACACCTGAGTCCACACCATTGGCTATTGATTGGCCATATTCAAACAAGATCAATATTTACCCAGGTAAGCAAGAGCTCAAGGCTATATTACATAACTTTGGGGTTATGTCATGTCTCACTTTGTACAGCCTTGTCAGCTTACAACACATATCATAAAACAAATACACACACTGTATTCCTTGTTTCTAATATTTTAGTGATCAGTTTGAATACAAGAATACAAAAAACAAATATTATTAATGTCAAATATTAAATAAAATTATTAATTCAATAATTGAGAGTGCCAATAAAAATGACATGAAGCCAACAAAGAAAGCTTGTACAGCTTATAGTACTTTGTGAGTTGCTCACACTAATATTCAAAGTGCAATTAAAAGTATCTCAAAATGAATTCATAGTTTTTGAAAGAAAAAAATCTAGCTAATCAAATTTAATATCTATGCCCATTACCAAAGAATTCTTGTGATTAAGAACATCCACTTAATGAGGGTTTAGAGAAAAGCTGTAAAGTTGTATTCAAACTTAATTTACCATTTCCCTAATTCAACTTAATGTTATCAATGTTATGTACCATTTCCCTAATTCAACTAAATATAATCAAACTTTGTGTACCATTTCCCTAATTCAACTAAATGTTATCAATGTAATGTACCATTTCCCTAATTCAACTTAATGATATCAATGTAATGTACCATTTCCCTAATTCAACTTAATGTTATCAATGTAATGTACCATTTCCCTAATTCAACTTAATG